ATCTTTCGGATAATCATGGTAGAGGAGATCCAAAAGAAACTTCAAAATGAAGCCGACACGCTACGGCAAATCCAAAAAGGTTAAAAGACGTTCATGATTATTTCTGGAAAGTATTTAATATAAATCTTGTTCCTCCTTTATGTGCAGCAATGATATCTATAAAATGAAGCGTCAAAGTTGCCGAGTGCGAATCTAAAATTTTTTAAAGTTTCTAACGAAATTAATCACTGTTTGTATTCACAATTAACAAATATTTTCTGATCATATATTTTCAATTTTGTACTTAATTAAATCGACTATTAATTATTATTGGCAAGAATCATTAAATAAAAGGAAGCTAAAGCTCCTCGTTTATCTCATTGGGAACTTTCCAACAAGCGACACTATGTAACACAGTGATCATTTCATAATGTTTGTTTAATATTAGCATAAACAACAAGGATGCAATGATTCACTGTGTTACACTGTGTCATCTGTCTCTTGTTGGCAAGCTTCGATTATTTTTAATATTGTTTTTTTTTATTTGACTCTGTCTTCTTTGCTACAACCAATAATATAGACAAAAACCAGCCATTATATATAAAGAAAAAGCACTAATAAATTTATTGTATTTGCAGAATACAACAAGGCGCTGAGCCAGAGGCAGCAACTAGATGGTCAGCTGAATGAAAATATCATGGTGAAGAAAGAGCTAGATATTCTAAAGGAAGAGAACGATGTATTTAAGCTGATAGGACCTGTGCTCGTAAAGCAGGAATTGTGTGAGGCTAAACAGAATGTTGACAAGCGTATGGATTACATCAAGTCTGAACTGTAGGTTTGCTTTTATTAGGATAATATTCATAGTCTGCTCTTATTTCAAAACTGTCGATCCTTTGAGGATCAAAACTTTATAATAAAGTAACTTATAGAAGATCTTGTTTTCTAATGATTTTTGGGGTTGTTAAATTTTGTTCTGGTTTCAGAATCTTAAAATTTGAAGGACTTCTTCCCTCCATAAATCATATAGAAAAAGTGGACATGACACCTTAGAGTCTTAGTAGAAAAAGCTGACTTATAATCTTAATGGACCTTTTACAATAACCCATTAGCCATAAATTAGAAGTCAGAAGCTAAAAATTAACGACTGTGATCAGTCAATTTTAGCTTCTGATTTCTGATTTATGACTAATGGCTTATTGTAGAAGGTCCATAAGACTAAGTGTCTTATGACTTAAGTCCTATGTCTTTAGTAATGCACAAGAACTGTCTCATGACTTATGTTTTAAAGGCACCTCGTATTTATATACCTTTAAGACATAAGTCATAAAATAGTTATTGTGCGTTACTAAGACTTAAGTTATAAGACATTGTCTTAAGATTATACATCAGCTTTCTGCCAATGCTCTTAGAGTGTACTCTAAGACAATTTTAAATATAGAAATTAACTATAAATATTGGCCTAAATAAGAACCAATCATGTGAATACTGATCTAGGAATCAAACTGCAAGTCTGTTTCGGATTTACATGTAAGGAAACGAATTTCAGGAAACGTGTGGACGACTTAATGTCTACCCTAGACAAGAAGCTGGACTCGCAGAGGGATGTGATAGATAAATTGCAGCAAGCGTTTCAACAGGCCCAGATTAAATCGATAAACCAACCGAAATCATAATATTGTACAGATATCGCAGCTTTGTGGAATTATTACATTTGTATAATTAATAACTAATGCTTAAGTGACACTATTAAGTATAGTCTCTTCATAATTCGGTACATGAATTTCGTGTTTGTTTCATTTATTTATACTAGACAATTATTAATACAAATCTTGGCTACGTGTCATAATCATTCAAGTGCAATTTATATGTAAATTAAAAACTGTATAAACTCTCCTCAATATTCTCCCTTTCCTCAAAATCAGTCCTTACATTGATTAATAAGATGACTGACTACTTTCTAACGTATAGTAAAATTTAGCTTTAATTTACTCTTTGTCTTAGTCTAATCTTTAGAACATTAGGAAAAGATAAAAAGTAAGTTAAACTGACAATAAGATTGATCTACATTGATAGAAATATGGATATAAGAGAATTAATTCAAGATATGTGAACACACACATTTATGAACAATTATTGAACTTGCGCGGTGCATAGTTCATGCAACAATGGTCTCGTTCAGCAGACTCAACTGTGTGGAGCGGATCCGCGAGCGCTCGCTGCTATTGGATGATCTAAAAGAATACACCAATAACAGCGAGTGCTCACGGACCTGCTACACAACAGTTGAGTCAAGTTGAGTTTGCTGAACGCGACCAATGGAGAGAGATGGAGGATCGAGAATCAACATGGCGACGACGTAGTACCGCCTGTCTTGAAAAAGTTGAAAGTAATTCTAGAATTCTCGTATGGCTATTAATTTTCATAGCTGATTAAGAATTTTAACTGGTAAACGACACATCAGGCAAGAACGAAAATGCTGTTAACATTGAAACCGGATCACAAAAAGCACATGCTGTTTCTAGTCGAACAATCGTCGCCAGGTAAGAGTGAATCGTCTGCCGATGAATGAATTTGTTTCACAGAGAAACATAAAGTAAAGCACATTCCCTCCGTAGTTTTACAGGATTTCTGCAAATTGGCTCTGGATTATTTGCAAAAGGGCCCGAATGTCAAAGTGTACAACGCTGCTGCTCGTACGTATCCGAATAATCAAATTTAATTTTGCAAACAGACTTTGAAATTATATATATTACAAATTTTGTCCATTAAATGTCAGTAGAAATACATAAAAATCAGGGTTATACCATATATTTTAAAATTACGTTTACATATAATTGTTACATATTTATGTTAAATTTACATGAATCTTTTTTCATGTAGACAAGACAAGCAATATACATAAAATAAAGATATGTATTGGATATGATTGGATAACACAATACAAAAAAGAAATTGTTTTGTAATTAATATATCTGACTAGAGTATTAATAAATAAATATATATAAGCGAAATAGAAGTTTTATACAATCTAATGTAAAGACAAAGAACATAAGCTTCAATGTTATTTCTACAGATTGTTTACATGTGACATAAGACATAAGAGATCTGTTCTTTTTAGCTAAACTTCTTACAAACTTTTCTTTTTTTCTCAAATGTGAAAAGAAAAAAGAAGAAAGATAAACTGTACAAGAAATTCAGCTAAAAAGAACAAATCTGAGGTCTATTTTTTTTTTAGCTCAAATAGTATGTGTTGGATATATTTAAGAAACTTATAGTGAAAAATAAATATATATTTGATATTTGGCGAAAGCAAGAAATAAAGTTTTACTGCAGGAATAGAAAATCTATAATAGAACATCTATATTTATATAGTTTATATAGTTTACGTTAGTTGCATACACATAGAAACAGATTACTATGTATAACGTACAACCTTGATCAAAATTTTCTAACAGAATGTAATGACAGAATGATTGCGGAAATTAAACCACATCCGCCATTTAATAACCATTTATAAACGATAAAATTTACTTTATTTAATCCTTCTGTCAATGCATGAATATACAGGTATATATTTATTGAATTAAAAACACAAGTTTAACACAAATATAGATGACTAATGCTATAATGGTCAAAGTGACGTATGATTGCTAACTAAATAAGTTACTTTGTTCTTAATTCAGAAAAGTTAAACGTTGAGCTGGATGTGATTAAAAATTCGGTAGAGGGTTTGGTCAATCTTTTGCTGGAGAGTTGCAAATGCAAGGTAAGATTTATCAAAGTAATGCAAGACAACAGGATGTTTACTATCTGAAAAAACCTGGCGAATCTAAAAATTTTGAGTTTTACAGCTAAGCGCGGAGGATTTCCGGGATTCCATGGTCGCCTTAGGTTTCACGGAAGACAAGGAGGCGATATTGAGTAAATTGTACAGCATTAAGAAGGACGAGGTTTCAGATGCGTTGGAAGAGATTGGATTTAAATTGCCGAGATATCATGACATGGAATGGAGATTTGAAGTGCAGGTAGCGAAGTCTTCATATCTTTCGTTATTTTCCTTAAGGGGATGCTGGAGGGATCCAATTATCAACATTGCAGTTTGATTAAAATCTCCGAATTGACTAAATGGAATAAAAAACCTTTTACAAGATTAAAATAAATGCAGAATCCTGATGTGGTGCAGTGGATGTTATACTAAAATCGAAAAAAAGTAAAAAAATTTTTTTTAACTTTTTTTTATTTTAATATAAAATCCACTGCACCACGTCAGGATTTTGCGTTTACTTTAATCTTGTAAAAGGATTTTTTATTCCATTTAGTCAATTCGGAGATTTTGATCAAACTGCAATGTCGATAATTGGGTTCCTTCAGCATCCCTTTAAAGCGTTTCAATTTATAATTGAATTATATTACTCTGCATCATAGACTGCGTCAAGATCTTTGTTGAAACAAGTTGCACCACTCGTCTCTCTTGACTTGTCGCTGAAGAATCCCGATAATCCCGAGGAAATTGAACACGTTCTGCTACAAACCGATCCAACTAACTTACTTCATATAACTCAACAGTTGGAGGAAGCTCTGCAAGAAAGTCGCAGTCAACATATTCGGAGAATTTCAAGAGCAGTAAAATGAGGCTTTTTGTAATTTGTAATTATATTTGAGACATTTTGTGAATATAGTGTGTAATTCGAACTATATGTGTAAAAATAGATATAAGTATAAAAGATTGATAAGTATAAAAATATAAGTATAAGAATAAAAAAATTTTTATTTATAAAGTATACTGAATGAAGCTCCATTATTTAAATCACATTTATTATCAGTATCTGTAAAGTTTCATTCCGATTGGATCATCTCAAATAATAAGTGACAGTAATCGACATGCGTATTACATCCGTATACATTATATTAAGGGGATAGATACATTTACATATGTAATTGGATGATTTTATTGGATTTCTATGCCTATATAAAAGAAATCTGCGCTCTTCCACTTATACTATGGATACAACACAGTTACCATTACAAGTTATTCTTTATCACAGACTATTGATGTTTTACAAATTAGGAGTTTTTAATTGCCTCGAATTCAGAATCTAGATCCAGCAGGAACAGTTGTATCTTGAAACATTCCAGTGTCAAGAAGTATGTATATCTATTATTTTTTTGTGCATTATATCTCTAAATGGTCCATACTTAATTACCATTATTTTACAGAAAATGGAGTCCCTTGTTACAGTAAGTACCGAAAATTTGATTATTTTCTCTGAGAACTCCACCATGGCGTTTACTGATGTACTAACAAGGACAATCGGACCTCGAGCTATGCAGCAAACTATGTCTTTCAATAATAAAACTGTAGTGGATAAAATACCTCCGGATATGATGTTCTTAATCGATCCACATTGGTTACTTTCGATTTCTCTATATTCCTATACCATTCGTGTTTACAAAGTAAATCTCACTAAGCTCTGGAATTACAGGTATCAGTTTCCACCGCTAGATCCAATGTGGCACAAAATTTTAGGCCTTGTAATGATTGTGTTAGGGTTTATGGGATGGTGTGGTAATGGTGTTGTAGTATATGTATTCTTGATGACACCCTCCCTAAGAACACCGAGCAATCTTCTAGTGGTAAATTTGGCATTTTCGGACTTTATTATGATGATTATTATGTCGCCTCAAATGATAATTAACTGCTACTATGAGACTTGGGTGTTAGGTAATACAATCTTTGTCTTTCCATTATACTAATTACTGCATTTGTAATATACATTTGTAAATTTAAATTGATAATACGTAAATAATGTATGAATTAATTTTATATTAAGGACCACTAATGTGCGACATACATGCCATGGTTGGTTCCTTATGTGGATGCGCTTCAATATGGACTATGACTGCTATTGCTTTGGACAGATATAATGTTATAGTAAAAGTATGTATAATATACTTTTATATTATTATTAGTATGTGAACAGAAACCAACATGCCTAAATTTCTTTAGGGTATGGCGGGAAAGCCACTCACCATCAAGAAAGCACTACTCGAAATTTTAATAATCTGGCTTTTCGCTTCAATATGGACAATTTTGCCCATGGTGGGATGGAATAGGTAATATTAAGATAATAAAAAATTATGGTTATAAGAAAATATGCTTTACAACAGAGAAGAGAGTGCTGTAATATATTGTATAATGTGATGATTAGATATGTACCAGAAGGTAATATGACCGCTTGTGGTACAGATTATCTTACCAAGGATTGGAGTTCTAAATCATACATCTTGGTATACTCGATATTTGTATATTATACACCGCTTCTTACTATAATTTACAGTTATTATTTTATCGTTTCGGTAAGAATATTCATACATTACAGCATTGAAAAAAATTTAGTATATATCATAAATACATTTTCGAAATTAACAGGCAGTAGCTGCTCATGAGAGATCAATGAGAGAACAAGCTAAGAAAATGAATGTTCAATCTTTGCGATCTGGAGATAATCAAAGTATAAGTGCAGAAGCAAAACTGGCAAAGGTGAGACAAAAAAAGAAATATATTAAAATTATAAATATATTATGTACGCTAAAATATTGAGAGAATGATTTGAAGAAAATCAGGATTGACATATATATTCACTTTATTAATTACAGGTGGCACTAACAACTATTTCTTTGTGGTTCATGGCATGGACGCCATATCTGGTTATTAATTATGTCGGTATTTTTGATGCTGCTAAAATTAGTCCTCTTTTCACCATCTGGGGATCTCTCTTTGCAAAGGCAAACGCTATATATAATCCTATTGTTTATGGAATAAGGTAAATGAGATTTTTAAGTAGGAGATATATATAATCATTGATGTTCTTGTATTGCATTAATATTTTTTTACTCTGCACAGTCATCCAAAATATAGAGCGGCACTAAAGGAAAAATTACCTTTCTTTGTATGTGGCTCGACTGAGGACCCATCTGTGGCTGCAAAAACTGCGGAAACATCATCTACTACAACTATGTAATTCCAAGAGAACAATGTATTGTAATTTCTAAATATTGTGATATATGTTTAGGGTGTGTTTCTCAAGGAAACGAATCAATAATATTGGACATGTTATATACATATATATATATATATATATATACATGTATGTGTGTGTATGTTCGTATGATAAATGTAAAACGTATGAAACATTTGTAATTTGTAAAGCTTCAATAATCGGCGATTATGCAAAAAGCTACATATATGGAAACTTTGTGTGGGCTGATTCCATGATATGCTGTACGTGATGAATTCTCATTTTATTTCAAATCTTCTCTTTTGTTCTTTACTTTTATTGCAGATTAAATATTTGCAGGAATAAATAATAGCAGGCATTTAGTGCCAATTGTATTAGATATAAGGATATTATTCAATAAATCATTTGGCATGTAATGATTTAGTAGAATACATATCTATAGGATCTTAAGATATAATAAAAAAATACTAATGTATAGTATTAGATACGTGTATACAGCGTGTCCCATTTTAATTAAAATAGCCAATTTCTGAAAATTACGAGACTTCAGAGAAAAATATTTCAGACAGAAGTTGTATAACTTTGAGGGGAGCATAAGATACTATTGGCATTTGACCTTAGATAGTTGTTTAAAGATCACGTAAAGGTCATCTTCCATTTTTTAAATAGAACCCTCTATTTTTTCTTTACGTATCCTTGTAACCGAGAGCTTTTCAAAACAGTATATAATAAAATTTATTTTCGAGTTGTGTGAGACTTGAAACATTTATACGTAAAAATGAAAATAAGAGGTCCAGTAAACGAGAATGGATTGAAGTAGATTGAAATTCATGTTTTCAGAAAGACGGATTCGCGAACATTAAAATGAACCCTTTTTTTAATTCTAATGCATTTTTATTCATTTATAGGAATTGAAATCTCGTTTACTGAGTAGGTAGCGTTATCTTGTATCCCCCTTAAAATTGTACAACTTTTGTCTGAAACTTTCTCTAAAGTCTCGTGATTTCCAGAAACTGACTGTTTTAATTAAAATAGAATACCCCGTATATGTACACACACGTTAAAAAATTTTTGTGGTGAATAGAATTCGTATGTGATTGCATGCAGTATCTATTTAATTCTATAAAATTAATTACAGATATCGTTATAGCGATATAATACCACATATCGCTCACGGTATAATTTTTAGCGACATTATATATTTGCTAATTCCAAAGTGACCATATATTCCAAAAGATGATAAAATTTATAACTGCGCTATGAGCCATTTATGAAAGATTCGTGTGGTGCGGCCGAACCATACAATGTTTCATAGACTAACAGCTATAATGAAACTGTTCAGCCCTCGATTGTTCTGTTAAGTTTTTCGCATATTCGCTTGGCTGAGGCTCTCGCTTTGATCACAGTTTTTCTTATATAAAATATCACGGTTAAATATATTCTCGTTAGTGACGTATCTCTCTTGCACACGTTATTTAATACAGCTATTTACAACTCATGATGATGCGATTTCTGTATGACGAGAATATAATAATATTTCACGGCATTTACATCCATTTAGTAAATGTATTTCGTATATCGTAAAAAAAATCGTTGTTATTTTATGCGACAGGTTTTTCGCCTTCTGTAACCGTGGTAGTCGTGGACACTGTATCCGCGCCAGGCGCCGGCTCGCTGGCACACGCCAGAGACGGGAACCTTTGGAAGAGAGCAGCTCGATACTTGGGATGGCTGGAATCACATAGAAAAAAGATTAGTTCCGCTAGAAGCGTGTGAGACAATTCATCTACTTTACCGTATTCTATCTGTAAAAATACATTCCAATGACGACATACTTCAGAGAATGGAATTGTTGCGACCTACCTGATGCCGTACACAATGGGATTGTACACAGCATTGGCTTTGGCAAAGAGAGAGCCCCAAATTGTGAAGAGCGGGCTAATTTTGGTCGTCTCAAAGATGCCTGAGAAGTTGATGACTAGGTACGGAGTCCACGCCATAAACCACAAGGAGATGGTCATGAGAGCTACCTATAATTAGTAACATCGTTATAGTGACCGTATAAGTGAGAACAAATCGGTTCGAGAGAGTTTACAAGTAAGAAGTCTTGCCTTCGCCAGTTTGCATTCGGCGCTTGTGCTCTGGTTTTCGGCGGATCGCAGAGAAGCGACGTTCATCTTCTTCGCTTGCTCACGCATGTTCTTCTCATGAGCGGCGACCGCTTGAATGATGAAGAAGTAGCTGTAGATGATGAGGAACAGCGGCAAAAAGTAGACAAAGATGCTGTAGAACAGGATGTACGATCTGGATACTATGTCCTTGGTTAAGTAATCGGTACCACAGGCAGTCATGTTGCCTTCGGGCACGTAGCTGTGAAAAGAAAATGTATGTTGCTGATAATTCATAATATTTTTTAATAATAGTTAATATTATTTTAGACTTTTGCATCTCACCGATTCCATCCGAACATTGGGGCGATTGTCCAAAGTATCGTGAAGAGCCAAATAGCGAATATACGAATGAGGGCGCCTTTAATGGTCATTGGCTTAGCAGACAAGCCTTTGACAATTACGTTATACCTATCGAATGCAATCATTGTCATCGTCCATATGGAGCCACACCCGAACAGGGAGCCCGCCATGCCGTACAATTCACAGAACAAGGGTCCTAGCACCCAAGTCTCATAATAGCAATTGATTACCTGTGCACATCGTTAATTGAATATACAGATCACACCGAATATTATTGTCGCATCGTGAATGCGAATCGTATTTCGATCGTGAATGCCTTGGATTAGAACGCACCATAGCTGGAGACATGCACAACATCATGAGAAAATCAGAGATGGCGAGATTGACGACGAGCAAGTTGCTCGGAGTGCGGAGACTCTTGGTGGTGGTAAATATGTATATCACCATGCCGTTACCGATGACAGATATTGTTCCAAGGACGCCGATGGCGAAACCAAGAAGTCCATGCCACAAAGGATTCATCGGCGGGAATTGGTACCAGTGAACGTCGACCATGTGGAGCATCTCCGGTGGCACTTTGTCGACCACTGTTTGATTACCAAATCCGCCTCCTTGTGCTGCCCACGTGTAAGCTGCATGGCTTGGTCCGGATACGAAAGACATGGTGAACTACGAGAGTCTCTATATTAATTAATATTCTCTCATGCGAGATTACACTTATATACTATTTATAGTCTGGACTGCTTAGCGTTGAAAAAATTTGAAAATAAAAATGCGAAACAAAAATAGGAAGTTATTCGACGTCAGCAAGTTTGAGCCTTCACCGAATTTTCACGTTTCCTTACAGATAATTACGGCGAAAAAAATAAATAAATTTGAACAAACATAAATCGTAACTTGCCTCTGTTCGTATTACTTGGAAAAAATCGTCGTGGTGAACGAACTAATCCAAGTAAACTGTAGGATTGTTGGCGTGATGTCTTGTAACGGCCTATCCGTGAAGACGCTTGCAGGTAGAGTTCCCTGTTCGGTCCACCATCGGCTGCGGCTCGAGGCTGCGCGACGACAAGCCGCGCTTAAATATACGTCGCAATCTTACGTGTTTGCGACTATATACAACACTTTTCTAAGTCGACAAACAGTCTTAAGAAATTCTCTATTAGATTACGCAGGATTTGGGAATACCTTGGGAGTACCTTGAGTTGCCGCACACAGAAACCTTATGAGAATGCAACAAGAATAGAATGCGGAAAATCGCTTGATGGTACAGATTGATTAAAATCAACGATTCAGTGTCTAATCTTAATAAATTCTCTAATTGTTAAAAAATCACATTTTTATTAAAATAATACTGTAAATAATTTTAACAAGTATTTGTTTTACGTATCCTTCATAAATTTTAGTTTGATTATATTACAATAATATCGTAAATAATTTTTTAACAATTTATTTTATATATTTTTTATCAATTTTAGTTTATATATTGTATATTATAGTTTCAAAAGGGAGAGGGGAGAGAGAGAGAGAGAGAGAGAGAGATTGATTAGGAGGGAATATAAATTGTAAATACAAATAAATATATAAAGTTTTATTTTATTTAAGTTCTTGAGTAGTCACTACAGAAAAGCCATTTGAATCGTAACTTTAAAAATGACACGTAAATTTGTGTTACGCGTCATTTGTAAATAAAGGCAATTTAGGTAAAACGAAATGATAAAATCGCTTTAAAACAATCGTAAAAATGAACGAAAGTTATCCTTATCCCCCCTGACAGTCAGTATATTAATACATAACGAATAGAACTCGCAATTTCGAATGAGATACTGCGCGGTTAAATTCAAACGCAATCGATAGTAAGATCGAAATTTTTTAAACTTCGAGATAATCACGTGGGAAATTCGAAAGCGATTCAAAATGGCCCGAGCCGGGAACTGCCGAGAAGCGAATATTGGCAGAGTATGCAGAGTTGAATAGCGGTTATGTGCGTCCCGCCATAAGTGATGGACGATGATGGATCGATGATACTCAGTGTTGGTAACCGTACGATAATTATCGTACACTTCATTATCGTACGCCTAAAATACGATAATTTTATATTTCTGATTATTACTCTTCTCTCTTAATTTTATATACATATTACCAGAGTAGGCATTGAAGAAGACGATGAATTAAATGACTTGGATGATATCATTATTTATTAAAAATCATAGAAATTAAGTATGAATTTTAAATATTATTTGTTCTTTGAAGTGTGTTCGTTTATAATTTGCGAGTTATATATTGTTTAGTCTTATCAAAAATTTATCATTCTAGTCATGTAGCTTAATCTGTGAAGTGAAATGACTATAATTGATGCTACTACGATAAATACGAAAAAATATACATATGTACTACATACATAAAAAATTGTGATATTGGCAATACAAGTGAACTTACTGTCTACTGTCAACATATGTAAAAAGCCACATTTGTACCGTTTCTTTCTTTTAAAATTGTTTTAAATATACTGAAATAATCACTTTCCAATTTGTATTTTAACCTGGATGTTATAGAAATACAGTTTATTCTATAGAATGTTTAAGCTCTTGAAATCAATAAAAAATATCGGTTATTGTTTCAATGGTCGTGTATTAGGGGGCTTTTAAAGTGCTGAATGGGTATTTTTAGCGAAATCGGTTGAAAATTGATCGAGAAATTTCTGATCTATTTCGGAAGCTGATTTCAGCCCAAGTCATTTCAACGTTAAGTAATAAATAAAATTGTTATTTCTGACCGTCTCTTAATTACGGATTAAAATTTTACATATTTCGTATTTAAATTTTGTTCGATGTATGTATGTACCATAATTCTGAGTTAGGTACGATAATTTTACGACCCTGGTACGATCGGCCACTGCTTTTAGGTTACCAACACTGGTGATACTTATAGCGTTTTCGGCCCGACCGGGTTTGCACCAACCTGGGATTAGCATCGTGATCAGTGATGTTTCGTAATATTTGTATCAACGACAGATACTTTCAAAAATCAACACGACAGGTACGCAAAAGGAAAACAAAGTGCGTTTCTTTCGCGCGGGAATATTTTTAACGATTATTATAACCAACAGCCATGAAGGAGAGCCTCGAGGACAGTTTGTTGGACGATGGGGATGGCGTCGGGGAACTGACGGCGCAGACGGTGCTCCAGGAGATCGAAAATGCCTGGATGAACGAGAGATTCGCTCCGGAGATCTTGCCGCATCAGTCCGACCTGGTGGACTGCATGCTGCAACAGATCGCGCACATGGAAGAAAACATTAAGAGGTTAGACAAGAACGATCTTCGAGCGCTAGTCCACCGGATGGAGCTCGATCGGATCAAATACGTCATCAGTAGTTACCTGCGAACACGCTTGGAGAAGATCGAACGATATACGATTCATATCCTGTCGGAGGAGGCAAATAGAAGTCCAGAGGAGGCCTATTTGACTCCAGGCGAGTTGCGCTTCGCTAAGGAGTATCTGGCCAATCTGGAGACATTCTTCAAGACGGTGGCTTTGCAACATATGCCACCTAATTTTCAGCGATTTGAAGCGAACAAGTTTACCATTAAACCTAACCTGCAGGCACATGTGTTCTTGCGTGCCAATCAAAGGGTTACCGGCATAGTTCTGCCTGGCATGCTGAATGAAGAGATAGACTTTGAGGAAGGTTCGCAGCATATCATACAATATAGTGCCGTAGCAAACTTGGTTAAATCTGGTGTAGTGCAGTTGATTTGATATTCTTTTAGATCAAGGAAACGTAACTAAGAGACAAAAAAAGGTTGTGACATATTTTTTTATGGATCAGTATATATACCTTTATTTATTATATCATTACAAAATCTCAATATAATTATTCATTAAAAAGAAATCTTTAATAATTTTTTTCAACTTTATATAAAATGTCAAAATTTACATTCTTATTCGACTATCAATAAGTAACATATTCTCTCATTTCCTATACGGAAGTTTAACATTGTACACAGCAGAGTTAGAAAGTAATACGTTACTTGTAACTGTTGCAATTACTTTTTTTATGAATACAATCCTTATTTTGTACATGTACAATACAGCCTTAGACCAAAATAATAGGCACCTTATTAAACAGTATTTAAAGTTTTAGTTCAAAAATTAACACAATTTGTTTCAAGATCTTTTTAAACTTATGTATAATATAACAGAAAAGAATAGTAACAGTAACAAATTACTTTTATAATGTAACTTTCTTAACTCTGGATATAGCATTGAACACATTGTATTCCCCGATAATTCAATTTTTTAACAGCCATGTAACTATCAGCAATAGCATTGTAGACTTATATTGCAATATATTGTACTTTGTCAGGATTTTTCAAATGAAATTTGATACTCGTATGATATTTAAATAGTTATTAAGTGGTATCAATTCTATTAGAAGTTCTTTTAAATTTTTTATAAAATGCTACTTATAAAAATATAATAAAGGCCTAATTATATGTAACTAAAAAGAAAAATGATCAATTTACTTTGCAATATTAACACATATAAGGGATGAACTTCCGAAAACGTCCAACATCCAATTATCATGAATTTTGGTAGAAATACTCTAAATGACGTCAAATGAATGCTTTTGATTGGATTTTCACCGACAAGAAAGTTTAATACCAAAAATGTTTGAATAAAGTTATGGAAGTTTGTGCTTATTATGGTAAATATCGACAATAATAGCAGCTCCGATGCTCTTGATCTTGACATATGTTTAGCATTGATTTAGAAGATATAGTAAATTAAAGTTCCATAATATGTAGAGGATAAGTTTGAAAAATAATGTTTTTTTTTACTATATAGAACAAAAATTTTCTGCTTTAAAATATATTTTACTGTCCATGCTCTCACCCCCTCCTCTGCTTAAGGGGCGTACGACTTCCATAATTGTACTATTGCACATGGGTTTCGACTTTCCACACGGAGCGCCTCTCCCCCCCCCCCCTCTCCCCCTGCTTAAGGGGCGGATGACTTCCATAATTATACTGTTGCATATGGGTTTTGACTTTTCACATGAAACGACTTTTATCCTACTCCCCTCCCTGCCAAAGGTGCGCACGACTTTCATAATTGTACTGTTGCATATGGGGGTTTATAACAATAAATATTTTCCTTCTATATACTCATCCTCTCCATTCAACTCTTATATAAACTGCGATAAACATGTAGTATACTGAAAATAATAAGCACAAATCTTCCATAACTTCATTGAAACATTTTTGGCATTAAACTTTCTTGTCGATGGTGAAAATCCATTCAAGGGCATTCATTTGATGTCATTTGGAGTATTTCTGCCAAAATTCACGACAATCGGGTGTTGGACGTTTTCGAAAGTTTATCCCAAATAAATGAAGAAGCCATATTCAGTCAAAGGATCTTGATGCCCAATAATATTTTTTTGTGAATTTTACAATTTCCAGTTCAAGCAAACTGTGCGTCGATTATTTGTTGTCTTGAAACACAGTTATAAACGGGTGGTACCCAGTTGGACACGGCTCAATTGGACACGAGCCACTTACGGCGCTTGAGACCACAAAGCTCCTAAGCACCGGTCGCTGTGATTGGTGGTGTCCAATCGAGTCGTGATCAATCGGGATTACCCCGTTATAAACTGAAGCTGGAGTACGTGATATTATGAATTAAATTGACTTCCATCTGGACCTTCATATACCAGGTGTACAAGTATGAAATGCGGATTTTTTTTCAAAAAAAAAAAACATTAAATTCAGAAGAATGATAAAAAGTGGTTTATTCAAAGTGTGCTCCATTGTTGTTAGTTACACATTTTTCCCATCTTTCGGGTAATTTGTGGATACCACGCCAGTAAAAATCTTCCCCTTTTGCCGCAAACCATTCATCGAGCCATTTTTTCACATCTTCGTACGAACCAAAGCGCTGCTCAGCAAGTGCGTGACCCATCGATGCAAACAAGTGGTAATCAGAAGGAGCCAAGTCTGGTGAGTAAGCCGCATGGGCTAGCACTTTCCAACTGAGTGCTTTCAACGTGTCGCGAATCGGTTTTGCCATATGTGATGGAGCATTGTCATGGAGAAAAATGATCTTGTGTTGCCTTTTTCGATATTCTGGTCGTTTTTCGAGTAGCGAACGGTTTAAATCGATCAATTGTTGTTGGTAGCGTTTGGTATTAATCGTTTCAGCAGGCTTTAACAGCTCATAATAGACCACACCCTTCTGGTCCTAACACAGAACATCGTCTTCCTGCCAAAACGTTTCGGTCTTGCGGTCGATGTGGATCGTGCGCCTAGGTCTACCCATGATTTTTTTGCGCTTGGGATTCTCAAAATACCACTTGATCAAAAAGTTCCCGGAATTTATTCAGAAAATTCAAAATACAAGTTTATTCATCAAAAGTGATACTGTCCCCTTCAAAGTACTCCCCATCGACTGTAACGCACTTATGCCAGCGCTTGATCCAGCTCTCGAAACATTTCTGGAACTCTATTGTCGGTATAGCCATCAGAGCCGTCTTCGATTTTTCTATTACCTCCTTTCGGCTGTTAAAACGCGTTCCCCGTAGTGGTTTTTTGACTCGATCGAAAAAAATCGCAGGGTCATATCGGGTAAATTCGATGGCTGTTGGATGGTATTCGTTTCGTTCTTGGTCAAAAATTCATGGATAATGATGGCACTGTGCAACAGTGCGTTATCATGCGTTATATTAAAATTTAATACAAATTCGTTGCAAATTCAACTCCATTTTTAAAACTGTAAAAAATCGAAAACACGTGCAGAGATAGATGTACTCAAGACGGCGTAACTTTTACAAATGTCAAGCTATGGCGATAAAATTTGGTGGAAATGTCAATGATAGATGTGGCAACCTAACCAAAAAAACAACTCAAATCAGCTGATTCAGAGCATCACCTGGTGGTAATTCCGGGAACTTTTTGATCAAGGTGGTATATCCACTTTTCATCCCCAGTAACGATACGATGCAAAAACGACTTTTTTATATCGTTCGAGCAAAATTTCATGTGTTTTTGCGCCTCTCCATCTGCCTCTCGTTCAACTCATGTGGTATCCATCTGCCGACCTTCTGAATCTTTCCCATCTCTCGTAGGCGATTGGAAACAGCTTGTTGACTAACGCTCAATTGCTCTGCGAGTTGTTTTTGTGTTTGTGAATCGTCTTCGTCCAACAATGCTTGCAATTCTACATCTTCGTACCTTTTTGACGGTTTTCCGTGTTCCTTGTCTACAATATCGAAATCACCACTTTTGAAACGCCAAAACCATCGTTCATGCATATCTTGCGATGGAGCATGTTCACCATAAGCTTCTTGAAGTAATCGGTTTGATTCAGCAGCAGTTTTCTTCAAATGAAAACAAAAAATTAATGCTGCCCACAAATGCTCTTTATTTGGCACAAATTTCGACATATTGAACACAGCAAAACAATACTATGCAAACACTTTTTCAATTTATAACTTAATGCGTGTTTGACACTTGTTGATGGCACAACAAAATGGCATATACGTCAAATCTTTATACTACACACTGCATTGGTGCACCATCTGTTGTCTCAAATCCGCACTTCATACTTGTACACCTGGTATTTTGTGACGGAGCTCCCTATATTTTGTGATGGCATCCCTTATGAAAAGAGACACTCAAAGTTGAGTGTTAACACTTAATTTTCAGTGTTTTTTCGAAATTTTCAGTGTCTCTTTCCATAAGGGATCTTACCAATTCTATCACCGAAGGTAATAGAAATATTATTTCTTTACACACAAACATTTATAAAAAAATAAGTACAAATTACTTAAAATAACTAAGTACTACAATCTAATTAATTTTCATTAAAAATATTGCTTTAAAAAAAAATAAAAACATTGAATTAAAATTAAGTAGAAAGAAATAAGTAAATTTGTTCCTTTGTTAACACAGACGTATGTTATAGTATACTTGTAGAGTAAATCACAATAGTTCACGCTTGTCGTTCATACGCCTGTAAACAAAATATTACACTTAAATATCTTTTTAATGTTTTTTTCTCATTTTTTATCACCATGGAACAATTAATTTACCTCTTTGGCACATTGTTTAAGTTGTTCTGTCATCGCCTTTCCAGTTTCTTGCACCATACTGCTGAAGTGACCTTGTTCGTTTTGTAACAAAATATACGGATGATCGAATTCTAATAATTGACCTTGATCCATCGTCAATACTTTATCGTTGTCCATTATCGTATTCAATCTGTGCGCTATTGTTAATATCGTGCAGTTTTCGAACTTCTTTCGGATCGTAGTTTGTATAAGTGCGTCCGTCGTAGGATCCACATTGGCAGTAGCTTCGTCGAGCACAAGTATTTTATTATCCTGTAAAATCGCGCGAGCTAGGCAAATCAACTGTCGTTGTCCGACGCTGAAGTTACTGCCGTCCTGTTCGACATGGTAGTCTAAGGAGCCTACCATGTGTTTTAATTTCACTTCTTCTAAAACACTCCACAGATCGGCGTCATGAAACTTATAAAAAGGATCGAGATTATTTCGAAGCGTAGCGGAGAATAATACCGATTCTTGCGGTATTATGGAGATTTTATTTCTCAAATCGTGAAGACCAATCTTCTTCGTATCAACGTTATCAATGTAGATAGTGCCGTCGAGTTTTGCCATGCGAAACAAGGCGGCGATTAAAGATGACTTCCCGGCTCCGGTACGACCCACAATTCCAATCTAAAAAATTATATAGAGAGAATGATTTAGAATTTAGAATATAATTAT